TAAAGGCTACTAAATGCCTCAACTTGAAAGTGAGGAACCCAAGGCTCTGTGCCATTTTGTACTGTGCCCAGTTAGCAAAGCTCATAGTTTGCATGTATGGAGTGCTGTCCCGAACCAGCGGGTCAGTCAACAAAGGTCACCTGGGGGAGGAGCAGGAAATTGAAGAGGGGACAAAGGACAGAAGACACGAAGAATGGGGACAAGACAGGATTCTGATCAAGTCTCCTTTATTCAGGGGAGGGGCTGGGTATATATAGGTAGTGTAGGAATGAGGAAGTCTCGGCTCTAGGGGTCAGCAGGTATCTAGGCAATGGGGGAAGGTGCAACCCCTGGGGCATAGCACGGGATTCACGGGGTATGGGCAAGGTGAGGACCATAAACTTAACTCAGCAGGGGAATAGAAACTTAAGAAAACCGCTGACACTATTATAAAATGGATACCAGTTAATGGCCTCCCACAGCGTGCAAAGGTGTGTCCCTCCAAACCTCATGTTCTTTTCTTCTTTCCTTAAACCTCACTTACACTGCTAAATACCTCACCACCATAATTGGTACCACTTCATATATCCTGGATGCTGTACCAAACCTACATTAGCATCTCAATCTTGCAAGGCAAAGAATTTGGTGATGTGAAGGGAGAACCAAGGATGAGAGGTTAGAACACTTATGGACCATTCGCTACTCAGTGTGGGTTGTTGTCTAACAGCATCAGTATTACCTAGGAGTGTTCAGAAATGCAGGTTCCCAGGCCCCACTCAGACCTACTAAATCATACTTTCTTTTAACTTATAAGCATATCAAACTTTGGGAAGCATTGCGATAGACTTGAAAAACCCAACCCTAGTTGTCAATATGTTTCTCTAACATGGGTTCCCCAAATGTGACCCCCTGAACCAGGAACATTGGCTTTCCCTAGAAACTTGATTGGAGCACAAACTCTAGGAACCTGACAGTTAAATTAGAAACTCTAACCAGTAATCTGATTTAATCCTCCAAGTAGTTCTGGTGAGTGCTAACGTTTGAAAATCCTGCCTCTTAACTTCTTGCAATCTGTACACCGATGCTAAACCAGGAAAGAGGAGCCAGCAGTGACACCCTGTGGAGCCAAGGAAGATTTGCACCTTTCTTATGCACATACCTGCTCTTAGTGTTCCTTGGCAGGATAAAACCGTCTTTATTCTTTGTACTATAAATACAAAGCTGTTTTTTTTTTTCTTTCCAAACTTTTGGAATTAAGATCTTATGCTCATTTGGGTCATGAGGGTTAGGTTCTTTAATTCAGCAATATCCATTCATCATTATGTGTTAGTTTGTGATAAAGTGCAGAAAATATAAAGCATATCCAAATTAGTCCCCAGTGCAACACTGTAAGTTTCATCTATAGCAGAGCTCCCTGTCATTTAATTATTATCCATATGATGGAAACCATTCTAATTGGTTCCAAAATTAACCTCCATCCTTATATGGTTGAGATATTATTTCCAACTTACAGAAAGGATGAGGACTCTTGGTAGTTCATACTTTTAATCAAAGAAGCTTCTTCTTAGTGATCTCCAAGGATTATTGCAATTAGAATTACTAAGAAGTATGGATACTTCAAATATAGAACCCCAGCAACCTACCAAATCTTATCTCTGGGGGGCTGTGCCATGTTCAAGTACACCAGGTAAATTTTACACACTAGTTTTAGAACAAATGTACTACATCATATTGTCAAATGGATCTTATCCTAAAATGAATATCAGATTTGTGTAGCAGTATGAAAAGATGGTCAAGTATTTCAGGGAAATCTATGTGATGGGAGTTAATAATGGATTTGAAGAGGTGGATTTATTTGCAGTGTTATCAGAAAAAAATATATCATGGCGATGGCAGTGCCAGGTGGTTTTTTAGATTCACTTCCTAGGTGACTCATTGCATGGTATCTCAAATTCTTCTCTCAGGAAAATTCAATTTTAATCTGGGTTAGAAATCCTGAACCAATTACCAAGGGAATGGCTTTGATAAATTTGAAAAGGGTCAGAATTAGAACCTTGAGATCCCCTGCACCACATGCCATGTCGCCCCAGCCTGGTCTCTGGGCGTGCTAAACCTACACCAAAACAGGGCATGGTGGTGCACGCCTATAATCTCAATGCTGGCGAGGCTGAGACAAGAGGATCACTACAAGTCCAAGCTGCACAGTGAGACCCTATACCAAATACATTAAAAAAAAAAAAAAAAATTAGAACCTTGAAGTTATCTTGTGAGTCATTTATAGTATAATAGGCGCACTTTGAGACAATGTTAAGTGACGTAAATCAGACACAGGCTTAAATATCACATGGTTTCTTTTATATGAGAAACCCAAAGTGTAAATAATTTAAAGAACAAAATAAAAGCTAGGCAATAGGAATCAGGCAGATCATCAGCAAATGGGAAGGGGACCAAAAGATGGAGGGGAGAGGGAATGACAGGAGAAGGAAAAGTTAAAAGAATTGGGATGTTATGCACATGTGCCGATCATTATGTAGAGCAAATAGTACAAGTAATTAAAAATAATTTAAGATAATAGCTGGAATAGATATCAATCCTAAACAGACTATTTTTAAATTCTTTCATTTCTGAGATTTCTCTGAATTGTTACTATCACTTTAAAATTTTTAGCTTCCACATTTGAAACCTTAACACCCATAGCTATTTTAGCATCAGTTATGCAAGTTCGTGTTATGCCCCCTGGTGGCAATATGGATAGAAAGATGAGAAGCATATTTCAATCACAGGGAGAGTGCAGATTTAATTGAAATAGGTGGCAGGGCCTGAATTTGAAATAGAATTTCATATAAAACTTTTCTGGTCTTACTAAAAATAGGAAACATCCCGTTAAACTAAAATCAGATGTATTAACTTTAGCATGAGAGGTGCATATTTCAATTTCCCTTTCTTTGTCACAAAATGGATTAGCTTTTTGAAATATGTCAGTTGAACTTGAAATTAAATATTTGCTCTACATATAGCTAAGTAGCTGAACTCATAAAAGATAACTAAAGTCTTCACAATCACGACTTGACACATGCCATACTCCTGAGGCCATGTGCTTCTTCTAATGTAGCTATTAATTTCCCTATGTTAAGAAACTTTAAGTTACTTGGCCCAAATAGTCATTTTTTAAAGGATTCTTAGAGAAAGAAACCTCTAAATTTTGTATTTCAAAACTTGCAACATAAAGGACTTAATCAACAGCATTTTCTATTTTTCTTGTTACTAGGGGCAAAAATAGTATAAAAGCTACAAGAATGTTATACTGATATTTGGTGAGAAAAAGACACATAAAAGTGTTTCCTGCTAGGTTAAGATAAACCTGACCCTTGGAGCTGGGGTTGCAGTGCACTAACAGAACACTTGCCTAGCATGTGCAAGCCCTGTGGACAATTTCCAGCATGATAACAATAAACAATTAATGAAAGATAAGCCTGATTTCAATGGCTGCATTAGCCATGGAAAAGAACTATGGCTGCTCCTTAGGCAAACATTTAGGTACCTAGCAGATATAGGATACTATTCTATACTAAAAATAGTAAAACAGGCAGGCTCTAGCATCAAGAAATGCAAAGTGTTACACAGGTGAAAGACATTTATAAACAATACAATGATTAAATAAGGAAAATAATTAAAAGAGAAAATAATGACAGTTACAAGAAGTATTACAACTGAGTTTAGATGGAGTCTTGAACAATGGGTATTTTGTAGTTGAAAAAAGAAGACACTGTAACCTAAATGGAAAAAAATCATACACACCACAAAGGGTGAAGTGGCGAGGAAACTAAAAGTCATCCAGCATTTCCTGAGAAATCATTAAGATAAAAGGCAGGAGTTTAGATTGTGAAGTCATGAAATTCATGCATGCTTACTTTATCCTCTTAGCAATTCTATTCAGTTAAGTTCAAATGCCTCAATAGGCATTTATGTCTTAATGTACGTATAAGAAAAATAATATAGCTTGACAGGGTCATACCTAACACTTGGATTCTGGGAGCTTGAGGTAGGATGGTAAGTTTGAGACTGGCCTGGGCAAGTTAGTGGGACTGTTTCAAAATTAAAACAAGGATAAGGGTGACTGGGGGTACAGCTTGAAGTGCAAAGGCTTAGGGTCCCATCTCCAGAACTGCATAATAAAACAACAGAAACTGAAATATCTTTCATTTTACTCTTCACTCATTACTAATTGGATATCTACGTCTGTTGGGCAAACTACATGATTTTTCAACCCTTAGAATCTGGTTAAATGTTGCAATCTTTGTTTCCTGTTCTGTGATTTTTCAGACACTGTTTATCATAGAAAAACACCAAACACCCAGCTTCACAGATGTCACTGAAGAGATATAGGACAGTACAAGAGTGAACCAAGTTGAACTAGTTGTTTGCAAAGGTGTTTTATCAATTTGTTTCCACTGGAAATTTAAAATATTCCATGGTTCCTGGAGGACAGTTGGAAAGCCAAAAGACTTTGCATAGACCATGAGCATAGTTTAATTTTCAAGTTAAACTACTATACTCTCATGCCTATGTAGAAGTGTGTTGAAGACTAAAAACCCAGTAAGAATACTACTAGCATCATGAGGTGAGAAATGATGACGATCTAATAAAACACAAGTAAAAGAAACATAAAAGAGATATTTGGGCACATTCATCTGCAATTTTTGATAACCAAATCCAAATGGATACAAGGGTTTAAGGCGTGAATGGCGTGAGGGTGGATGAGTGCCTTTTCCATCATGAGCAAAAGTGCACTCACTGATACTAATTCACCACAATGTTCTTCAGTATTTGATCATGGCATATGACTTCAACTATTTTCTCTTATGATCCTGTATTTTATTTCATGCATGCAAAACATTATTCTGACAGAGTTCATTAGGCTTCATCAAAATGTTAAAAGGTTAAAAATACCTACTGGATATTGGCTATGCAAGTCTTAAATTCAAAAGAAACATAAATGTAATAAAATGTACATAAGTTTAATAATAGCTATATGGATACTTAATTCCCAACTCAATCAACTGGTATCAATAGGTTTTCCAAAAGGAGGCTGGGATGAGCACCAAGTGAAGCAGCCTAGCAAACAAACATTTAAGGGGTAACAGAACAATGTTCTCTAGGTTAATAAATTTAGAGGAACACATACTGAGACAACCAAGAGTGATGTTTCTCAAGCAAAGGGGAAAAGAAACACTGGACAGACAAGTAGAATTTAAGGAAGACAAAAATGCACATGTAGCCATGGATCAAAGCCATAGTGCCATGTGACAGATTCATAAGAACAGAATAGGTTTTCAGAAATGTGGCTGTGAAAGAAAGCAGTGACTAATGATGGATAGGTCCAGGGAGGTAAAGTGTCGTAGACATGAGATTCAGTTGTGCTGTGCTTGTTATGCAATCTCACAGGCAAATTTTTCTAGATTGACATTTGGGACTAAAGAGAAGCAAGGAAGGGTCAAAGAAGTAAGCTCAAGTCTGCATTCCTATAGGGTCCTCCCTGACTGCTCACTTTGCCACTCCTCTCATCCTGGGTCCTTTCCTCTTCTGGGAACCTTCAACAACAGTTTCTTACTCTCACGATACTAAGTACCAAAAATAGATACGGAGTTCCCACCATGTGTCAGGCATGGTATGAACAACTTTACATGTTTTACCTCATTTCCCTCATAAAAAGGTCAGTGGCATCAATGAAGAAATTGACTACCACACTCGAACTTACTCTCAACTAATTACTCTATAAAGCATGATATAATGGAAACTTGCGTGTTTCAGTATACTGCAGAGTACAGGTCAGAGTTTGGCCTAGTTATTTAATCTTTGGGGAGCTTCATAATTATTTTATAAAGGAGTAATAAGGACATCTACCTTGTGCTTGCTTCGGCAGTACACATACTAGAATATCTACCTGGAGTTGTTAATGAGCATCAAATGAGAGTCCAACTACAAAACTTAGGGCACAGCCAAGGCTCAATATTGCCAAAGTCCGGTATGCCAATAAAGTAAAATAACCATGATAATAACAGAAAAAAATTAATGTAAAAGTAACTGGTTTTGTTTTACTCTAAATAGCACATATAACGAATAGCTGTATTAATATTTCAGCTTTAAATTTTTTTAAAAATTTACATTGAATGCACAACTTATAACATGACCACTTATAAGACAGTCTATGACAACAGACTGAATGAACATTAACTATTCCCTTCCCAAACAAAAATTAAGAGAATGGCAAGCTGTTTATGAGGTGACATGTAACTGTGTTGATCAGGCTGACATTCTGAACATTCGCTTCTTTAGTTCAGCAGCCTTCTCGTCTATCCGAGCATAACATTCCTCCACTGTCTTTTCAATGCCTTCATGGTATTTCTCCACAGCAGTTTTCAAGCTTAGAAATATTTCCTAATTGGAAAATGAAACAGAATAAGAATTATTCCATGTGACAGCCTAGTTTAGAAATGAATTACAAGAATTCCAATAGTTTCAGTCAATTTTATTAACAGTATTTTAAAGCTCAAATTCATGCAGCTATACCTGCACATATGCTTATTTTTATTAAAAATTATTCATAAGAAGTATGAATACATCAAAAAGCCTACTTCTTAAGAGAAAAAAAAGCAGAAAAGTGACAATGGTGAAGATTTCAAGAAATTAAGAACAAACACTTGTAATAATCAGGAAGAAATTTTACTATGGATATTTCCATTGTAAACAAAGAAAATACCTGGTTTACTGTGGCGACCTCTGCAATTGATCCTAGTCATCATTTAAAAGATATATAAACACATTTGCTAAGTAGTCTATAGGACTAAAAAAAAAATATCAGTATTTTTAGAATTACTTTAATAAGCTGATCAGGTAGTTCTACTATAAGCATTAACCCATTTTCATATAAACCTGTATGGATATGCTAAGAACTTCTTAAATGCACATAGCAAATTCTAGACTGAATAAAATAAGAAATAAATTACTGTGTATATTTTGTTTAGCGAATGTGATATCCTTTTATTATTCATTTACCTTAGACAAAACAATTCTCAAACCATGATACAATAAACAGTGGCATTTAAGAAAGTTACAGAATATATTCACCACTGAAATAAAACAGTGACCTTTTGCCAGTGGGGTGTGAAAAGCAGTATAGTGCACACTGTTCTCAATTTCAAGCAAATCTCCTATTTGTCTTAAACCTGTAGTTTTGCTACGATTTATGTAAACTCTAGTGTTGAGTACATTACATAGATAATTCAAGTTAGTATGAATTCAGTGTTCCAAAAAGGAACCCCATTTCTAGCACCTCTGCTAGTTTGAGAGCTATTACTTACAACTGCAGAATTAAGCATATATACATAACTATATATGTATGCATATGTACGTCTTAAACACTCTCCAGAAATCCAAATGTAGTTATTAAATCCTAATTCAGAGATAGAAGAGTGTGTTTACATTTCTAAGACCTAAGCAAGCACCAAATTACTACATCTATGATAGAAAATGAACCACTTGGAAAATAAATCACAAAATTTTGAAAGCTTTATTTCTTAACTCTTGTAGGAAAAATAAGGTGAATTAGTTGCTAGCTTGTGTGAATGCCACTATGAAAAAAATCAGCACATTCAGCAGCTATAGATCAATTTAAGTTTCCAGTTTTATTGGGGTGTATGTTTATTCATACTCAAAAGAAAGATGAATAAATTTGGTAGAAAGATACTACCTGCAAGAAACTATCAAAACTAAGTGTGGCTAAATAAAGACATACAATGTGTAAATATATGAACTAATCATTTCAATACACCCCATGGAACTTTTCTTTTGAGAACAAATATCCTCTCATGGAGGAGCCAATCATACAGACAGAAGTGCAAAAAACGAAGGGAACCGGAAAGCCAGATTCCTGTGACACATCCACAGAAGCAAACAAGCATGAAATCCTAAGCCAAATGTTTAGTGGTCAGAGGTCAAAGCCCTCACGAATGCTACAGTTTCTGATTAAATTCTATATCCGTGTAGAACTTGTATAATACTACTTACACTAATTCTCATGAAGTCTTATTGCTATAATTGCACTCAGGTTAAATATTTTAAAAACAAAAGGCCAGGGTTTGGGTATAAATCACTGGTACAGCATTTTCCCAGCATGAACAAGATCTGGGATTCCAGCTCGCTCGCTCACTCGCTCGCTTTCTCTCTCTCTCTCTCTCTCTCTTACACACACACACACACACACACACACACCCACACACAATCTAGTTATGTGCTGTTTAATATGGTTATAATTAGTTGTATGTAGTTATTTAAATTTAAATAAAATTCAAAATATAGTTCTTCACACAGGTCAAGGGTTCAAGGACCTACACGTGCCTACCAACTACAGTAAAACAGTACAAAAAACATTCTCATTATTTCAGGAAGTTCAACTGGACAGTGTTACTATGATTTCAGTTTGCAGATCAGAGAAACTTATCTCACTGGTATATATGAATTGATCAATAAATATTATTGAGTACTTTCTACAGATAGCACCATAAATAGTAGGATAAATATAATGGAAGATTTAATTATGCTTTCTGCCCTAAAGTACACCTAGATCACCAGGTCAGAAGAGACGTGAAAATGACAGGGCTGTTTGAACAGATCAGAAACTCAACAAGGGGCACAGGTAAGATGCTGCTGCTAAAATCCAACCCTACATTATGCTTCAGTAATGAAAGCATTATGATTCTGAGCTACTCACACCATTATTTTGGAAGATTGTGTTTAATACTAGATTCAATATTTTAAAAGGTATAATGAAAGAAAGGAAACAAAGATAGGAAACAGGATAGTAATGAATCTGAAAATTAAGCTATATAAAGGATGGCTGGAAAACTCAAGCTAATTAACCCAAATAAGATAAGACTGAATAGACCCATGATCATTATCTTCAAATGTACGCAGGGCTGTTAAGTAAAAGAGAGTAAAGATTTGTTCCAGAGAGAAGATCTGGGTTCACGGAAGTACAGAAATTGAACATTTGAAATATAAAATGAGAACTAACCTTTTAACAACTAATGCTGTCTTAGAACAGTTTGGGTAGTTAAGAGCTTTATACCACTGCAGCACAGCACCATACTAGAAATAAGATCCATGGGCCCCCTTGCTGCAGGCTGTAATTTAATATATTTGGTTGTAAAATTAGACACTTAAAACTTCTTCACTGAATTCTAACACACAGCCAGTTTTAAGAAACAGTGTGGTATATGAGCTCTTAATTTTACAAATATTTCTGGAGAGGATACTACCTATAAAGGCATCATTCTAGGTATGGTTTGACATGACATGCTAAGGTTAACACCGGATTGCTAAGAAATTTTAATGTTACGGTCTCTCTCTGTCTCTCTCACACTCTCACACAAGAGAGAGAGAGAGAGAGAGAGAGAGAGAGAGAGAGAGAGAGAACGAGAACGCGCAAGAGCAAGCAAGCGAGCGAGCTAACAGCTCTGTAAGACAGGCCTGGGTCAAGATAGGGTAACTGGTTACTGTGCGTTAATAGTGGGTTCAATAACTGTAAATAGGCCACGTACAAAAAAAATGTGGATTTAATCAAATACGACGAACTAATTCCTGAAGTCTTTCTATACCCCATCCCCATTTATTCAGAAATAACCACATAATTCAGTTCAGAAGCAGGAAAAGAAAAGTAATTTGAATACAGAAAGAAAAGCAAGAACAGAAAAAAAACAAGACAGGATAGTGAAAAGAATAAGGGAAATAATAATCCTTTTTTTCTTTTCTCTTTCAATTTCTTTTTTCTTCTAACCTTTCCCCTATCCCTGTCTTTCCTACCTTTCAGATAGTCTGGAGATAATATTCATTATGTACATTCCTAGTTACAGGTGCAAGTGCTAACACAATTTACTGCCTCAGGCAGATGCGAGTGCTCCAGGACAGGTAAGGGGATCCTGCAAGGATCTCTGCAGACTTGACACGGATGAGGGAAGAAGGTGACAGGCCAGTGTTTAAACAGTTATCAGACACGAAGGTGTTTCAGAAGTCTTGAAGCAAAGTGTTAATGTAATCAAGATAAAGAACAATGAGAAAAGAGGCCAAGATATTTCCCAGTAGTAAATGGCTACTTTTAGTGATTTCTGGCAAAGTAGTTTGGGCAATTGTTCTAACAGAAAACCCTTGAAATATAGAAGTCAAACCTCAAAAGTTGAAGGGACAGTGGAAATGTAATCAATGTACTAGGAACAGACATATTGAGATATGGGTAGCTAAAAGGCTAGAAAGAGGTAAACATTTTATGTTTCATATTATACTGGCATTTTGCAAGATGTAGAGAGCAAGATGTCTATTTTCACTAAACAAGATTATTTAGAAAGCAATACAATGAAAATACTGAAAGCAAGCAAAAAGTAAATATAGTAACATGAATTAAAATAAAAATATTAAATCTCTCATAACAAAGAGATTAGTCTAAGCTTTTTTTCCTTTTCTTTTTTCAGTTAACAACTCAAATTCATTTAACTCTGGTGCTATGAAATAATTCTGAGATCTTTTTATCAGGGGAAAAGAAAAGCAGTTATATTTTAGAGGAATTACTTAAAATCACTATTCAAGTCCATTTACCTAATAAATTCAGAATCTTTATGGAACAACTACTTTTACTGCAAAGAATAACATTCTGCTATATGCTGCCAGGGGAAGAAGGCAAGTAACAAAAAGGAACAGAGGAGCTAAATATGCAAACCACACAAGATAACAGAAAAGGCATTGTAAATGGAAATAAAAGCAAAGATTTGTGGGAGTCAATTTCTAACCCAGATATCCCAAAAAAATCTTCACAAGGAAGGTGACAGGACTTACCCTTTAATGTCATGATACTAAATGAAATTAATTTCTTACAAACACATACTCACCTGTGACTTTAGTTTCTCCCTTTCAGTGACATCTTTCAACTGCTGAATTCCAAATTTAATTTTTTTAATTTCTTCATTAATTGTTGTTACTCGCTCAAAGACAGCACCTCTTTTTTCTTGAACTTTATTGCAATCCCTAAAAGAAAACAGAAATAGCTAACAAAATTCTTCCTAAGTATCTAAACAAGATAAACAATTCTAATTTTGATTCCAAAGTGACTCACATGTCAGTGTATTTGGCAAATCTAAAACTTTTGTCAAGATATGAAAGAAAATTAATGAAAATCCCAAAGTTTGGTGCCATAATGACAAACATGGCATCCAGTGAGCTCTTTTACCAAAGAGATTTTCCTTAAATGGAGACTTTTAAGCTATGTTTCCTCAGTTCTGAACACTTATATACTGTAGGTGGGAACACGAATCAGTACAATTATTTTGCAATGTGATTTCATAATACAAGCCCTTTCAGCTTTGCTTTCTCTTCATCTGCATGAGGGTATGTGAGGGAAATAAGACAATCTCTGATACCCACTTCAGGACTGAAGGAATGACACCCTAGCCACACTAGGGGCACATATTCTGACAACGTTACTTATAACATTGAGGTAGAACTCTATCACAAAATCTCCTACAACATATTGGCTAAAAATAAAACAAACATAACCTTAATGGTTAGCAAATTATTGATTCTTAAATTATAAAAGAAAAAAAAAAACGAACACTTCCTCCAAACAGATGCTACTAAAACAGACCAACTGATCGATTCTCCTGCAACCCTGGACCACTATCTCTCAATTATACTGAAATAAGCAGCAGCATTAGAACCTTTTGGAAAAATTATGCAAAGAAACTGGAATTATGGTATCTAAAAAAGGAAAAAAATCTTAAGTAAAATATCCTTGTATCTAGACAGAATGGTAGGTTTCATCACTTCTCTGTTTTCATCACCTACAAGTTGAGTGTTTTCTTGAGAGAATAGTACTTTAGAAAACCTGAGTGAAAAATTAACTTTTCCTAATTACTTTGTATACACGTAAATTCGAAATGAGTTCATACTCAATTACTGTTCGTTTGTACTGCTTGACATCCTCATGCTTCTTATTTATTTTGAATTGTGTCGTTGCAAGTTTTTCCTTCTTCACAATCATTAGTCTTTTGAATGAATTTTCTTCAGTCTTCAATTTCTTCAGTTCCGACTCATCACTCTCAATTTGGTCCTCCAAGTTCAGGCTCTGCATTGTATGAGAAGTATTCTAAGTCAACACAACTACTTAGAATCATAAACAAAATGAAAGTCTGGACAATAATCAAATACAGTTTTGAAATGGGATACTATTATTTAATCCCTGAAAGTCCAGCGAAAAATCCAGACTGTTCAAAGTAGATGACAGAAAGACACCAGAGGTAATGAAAAAACATGAACAAGTTTTATCATGTTATTCTGTCAGCAGGGATTAGTGCAGTGGGACATACTATGATCAGCTAAGAGGCTAGGCTGACAGTGATAGAGTCTGAACTAAGACAGCAAGAATAAAGAGAAGAGAGCAGACCCTAGAACAAACGCACATCTCACTCTGCTGACTTTTGGGGGCAGATAAGGAGACTGTGAACTGGGGCGAGAATAACTCTGGCAATCTCACCTTCTGAAAATTCCTGCTTCTCTCAAACAAGTTTAGCAAATGGAACTGTGATACTGAGGATGGTCTGGGTTAAAGATGATAAAAAACTGAGAAAGCATTTTTAAACTGGCACCCTGAAAAATTCTCATTACTTAAGGCAGACTCTGGCATAGACTTCTCATCTCTTCATAAATCTTAGGTACACTATTGGACACTAGATTGGGATTTTATGCTTACTGATTATATAAAATCATTTCCAAATGTTAAAACAAGTTTTAATAGCCCTCACCATTTTCCAAAATATGCATGACAATATGCTATGTTAGTTATTCTTCATTGGATCTGAAGGCTAAAATTGCTTTTGCTATTACTGTGTTTAAAAAGAAAAGTGTCTTAGTCCTTAGTATACATTGGTTCATCTATTATACTGCAGAATAATCCTATTTTTCTTTAAGAAAATAGTAACAAAAACTGAAAACAAATCAAAGAACTATAGTAAGTAATTACATAATAAAGACATAAAAATTCCATATAATACAAACCTCCTTTAAGATACTGGTTAATTTTTCTCTATTATCTGCAAGTTCCTGGATTTTCTTTTGATATAATTGCACCTCCTGCTGACAGGAAGGCAGGCAGTCAACTGAGTCTCTATAGATTTCATACTTCTCCATCACTTCTTGCTTTGAAAGAAAAAAAACAGAGATCACAGTTTGATACTTTCCTTTATAAAATGGCAATAATGTCAGTTTGTTTGCTCTTAAATAATTTCTGCATTTAATACTGAAAGCTTAAGAGCAGAGAACAATTAAGTTTCTAGGGCAGTAACAAAGGACGACTACTGACATGTGTCTACTCACACGTAATTATGCTTTTTAATTGCCAGATATCCTTGAACAAAGAAAAAACTGCCATAATTTTACTAACTTCTTCACTGAAATACCTTCTAAAGGATATTCATGATGCCATTAAGAGTTCATTCTAATTCTCCAAAGTACTTCTGATCACTCCTGGACATTCACATTATCCATTTATAATCTTCCTGTTCATTTGTATGACACCTATTACTATAATATTCTTTTACAAAGATTAATTCCTCTTCTAAAATTACAAAATGAACATATATTTACTACAATTCTGTAACAGCACAAAGAATTCTTTCTTTGTCCCCACTAACCAGCTCCTGGCCCTCCCTTGTTAACCAGTTGGATTCTCTTCCCTGAAAGGCCTAATGTGATTATTGCTCACTTTTGTTGTTTTCTTACTAATTTTTAAATAATCTTTGCATATAATAGATATAACTCCTTTACCTGTCATATGTACTATAAATCCTATTCATTCTATAAGGTATACTTTGCTCTATAGTTTGGGTTTCCAAAGTTAATTTAAAAAAAATCTTTCACAGTTCAAGAATATTTGTATAAATATTCTTCCAAAATTCTTAAATTTAAATTACCAATCGACGTAAGGATTATTTCAGTAAATGGTATAAGCTATAGAGCCAACTCTTTCAGATGAATAGCTAGTTGAACCAGAACTGGTTTTAAATAAGCCATCTACTCCTCATACTCAAAACTGTCTGTTCTATTGAATTTGTCATCATTGCTGCTGCCTTTTTGCTTCTTGTTCTAGTATCAGAGATTGAACCCAGAGCCTCACCAATGATAGGAAAGCAAGCTGTCACCAAAGGGCTGCATCTCCAGCCCTTTTGTTTCATTGTATTTTGAAACGTAGTATTACTAAGTTTCCCCATCTGCCCAGGAATTTGCAAGCATCTTGCCTCAGCTTCTTGAGTAGCTGGGATTACAGGTGTGTGCCATTATGCATGGCAATTTTTGTCAATTCTTAAGTGATAATTTTAATTACCAGGAATGACCTGAAGAACAAACTCAGATGTAAATTAGAAAAAAGATGCTTAATAGTTTAAAAACATTACCTCAAAAAGAGCACTAAATTGTCTACCACACTTAATTCTGGCCCATCTCTCTCAAGCTATCTCCCACAGGAACTCACGACCTTGAGTGTCTTCCTCCCCCCACCTTACAGAATTAACATATGCTGCTTATTTTGCCTTACATTTTCTTCATGTATGATTTAATGGGATAACCTGCTCATTTGTCAAATGTTAGCACAAATTCCCACTTGCTTCCCTTTCATCAGTTTCAATACTAAATTAGATTCCCTATTACTATTACACTATTTCAAAGCATCCTACACTTTCCCCTCTTTTTGAACCTACTTTTAAGATAGTTTTAATTTTTAAAGCACAGCAAGACAGCCCACCAAAGAGAGAGAGCTCAGTGGAGTAAAGCTCCTGCTTAGGCTGATACAGTGGCTGGGATTTGATCCCAGGCCTGCCATGCTGGGCCCGCCCCGGGGCATGCTGAGAAAAAGACTGAGACTGGGCGTGGTGCATGCACCTGTAATCCTAGCTCTTGGGAGGCTGAACACAGGTGGATCACTAGGAGTGTGATCTACATAGTGAGACCATGTACTAAAATACCCCCCTCAAAAATAAGCACGGCAAAATTGATCAGAAGTTACACAGATTACAGATTTCTCACATACCTTCTACTTCCAAATATTATGCCCATCCTATTTTCTTTCATAATGCTTAGTGATTTATAATTATTGATTTATTATTCATAATCTCATTTAATACCTTTCTTTTAATGAATTCAATCTCATGACAACAAAGTAGTTCTGCTTATGTGACTGAGAGCAAAGTCTCAAACTCAACATAACTGAACAAATATCTTCTAATTATTGTTTATTCGATACACCTAAAAAAGAGCTATAACTTACAGACAGGATCAAAAATTAAAGAGAAAGAGAAATATAGATAACACAAAAGTCAGAAAATTATCAAATGACTAAACAAGAATTTGCTAATAGAAAAGCATTAAAATAAAATTAAAAAAAAACTTACCCTGGACTTTTTAAGCTTCTGTACCGTGTCCTTCATTTTTTCTTTATAATTCTTTACCTTCTCTGGAGAATCCACAATTTTTGTCTTTAAACTCTCTTGTACTTCTTTCAAAGTAACCACTGACAATTTTAGTTCATTCTGTTGAAAAACATTTTTATATAATAGATAACAAAATAATAGCATTTCAATAATAGAGATGAGCAAAAAATTAAGTTTATGTTTTCAGAGAGTGCCTGAAGGGCGAGATGGACCACCTCACTCTCATCTCCCTACAGGCCAGGTGTGAAGCTTACGAGGCTGCCAGCCAAGGCCTCACGTGACTGCAGTGCTTCTGTGATCAGCACGGTCCTTCTAGAATACCATGCCATCCTACCCTTGTCTGCAGGCTGCCCTTCTAGGGATGCCTGGAAGTCCTGCTCCTGTTTCCTCTGCATTCCTTCCTTTCATCAATAGTACAATTACATTCTTCTGACTTCTAGAAGTGAATGAAACCTACTAGATGAAAATGGCAAACAGTTGAAGTCATTACAATGGGAATAGACTTTTTGGACATGACCCCAAAAAACACAGGAAACAGAAGCTGAAATAAAACAAAACACTGGAAGAAAATATATGAAAGCTACATCTGACAAAGGATTAATATTCAGAATACAGAAAGATCTCTAAAAACTCTAAAAATGAAACCAGTCCAAGTAAAAAGTGAGCAAACAAACCTAAACCAACGTTTTTCAAAAGACAAATGGCCAATAAGCATATTTTAAAAAAGCTAAATGTCACTGACCTTCAGGAAAATGTAAATAAAAGCCACAATGATACACCACCTCACTCCAGTTAACCACGTATCAACACAAGAAAAGACAAATGCAGGGGTGTGGGAAGCCAGAGGAGAACTGAGGTCATGTTGGCCTCTTCTGTGAGCTCAAAAGAGAAAGGAAGCAGCATGTGCGCCTTTGGCAACATGCAGGAATGATGGCATTGTTGGTTCTAGGGAACAGTAAATATAGCAAAGATCAAGCTGTTTATCTGGGCAGGACTACTGGGTATTGGAAGAAAAATGAATCTTGTATTACTTTGTCTGTACCTACATTTTAGTGAATAAAAGGATGAGCCAGACAGTTAGCACTCCTCTGCCTACTAGGAGCAAGAGCTCCCTGGCTGCCCTCGTGTTAAACTGACTCTATCTCTGTGTCTTTGATCCTCATTCACCTTCCAGGTAAGGGTGACAATCCAGCAGGACTAGGCCCCTAAAAGTGGTACCTTGGGTAGAGAAAACAAGTGGGCCGATTTCCCACAGTGGTGCCTGGGGCAGGGATATGGCAGGGCAAGCCAGCTTGCTGCACAAGAGAATATGCAGAAAAGAGAACCACTGCACATTGTTGGTGGGAAAGGCAAGTAGTATAGCCACTACTGAAAACAGTATATAGATGTTTCTCAAAATATGAAAAATAGGACTACCTTAAAATCTAGCAATCAGACTACTGGGTACATATGCAAAGGATACAACATCAGAATTCTGAAAAGATATCTCAATGTCCGTGTTTATTGCAACTTTATACATAAGAGTCAAGAAATAATTGAAGTGACCATTAACTGATGAATAGACAAGAAAATATAAAACACAGTATTATTTAACAATAAGAAAGACTGAAATCTTGTCATTTGTGACAACACAGATATCAATAAAAATTCTTATGTCAAATGAAATAAACTAGGCCCAGAAAGAAAAATATTGTGTGGTCTAACTCATATGGCATATAACAAGTTAATCTTATAGAGTTTGAGAGTAGAATGGTGGTTACCAGAGGCTGGGGAGAAAGGAGGGAAGAGGAATAGAAAAAGTTTGATCAATATAAGTCTGCACACTGATTTCCATAATGGTTGAACCAGTTTACATTCCCACCAGCAGTGGAGAAGGGTTCCTTTTTCCCTGTAGCCTCTCTAACATGTTGTTGGTTGATTTCTTTATGATACCCATTCTTTCTGCAGATGATATCACAGTGCTGTTTTAATTTGCATTTCACAAATGGCTAGTGATGTGGAGCATTTTTTCATGTATTTATTTACTTCTTGTATTTCTTCCCTGAGAAATGTGTGTTTATTTTGGAACCCCACTTTTGGATTGGGTCTTTAAATTTTGGGGCCCTAATGTTTTTTAGTTCTTTATAAATTTTAGATAGAAGAACCTTTGTCTGAGTGCTTATTAGTTAAGATTTTTTCAAAATTTATGCGTTGTCTTTTCACTTTTTTTGGTAATTTCTTTTGACGTGCAAAAACTTTTCAATAAGAGGAGGTCCCAGTAGTTCTTTGAAGTATTTCCCATCCAGTTTGATTTTTCATGAACTGTTTGCCTATCCATATGTCTTCAAGATTTTCACCTATTTTCTCTTCCAGGAGATTTAGTGTTTCTGTTTTAATGTTTAGATCTTTAATCCACGGTGACAGACCTGGGAGAAGTTTTAGTTTTCAGCATGTAGAGAGCCAGTTTTTCTAGCACCATTTGTTAAACAGGCTATCTTTCTTCCAGTAAGTATGATTACTAAATTACAGTTATAAGCAAGAAGACCTGGCATGCTACTGCATAGTAGCCTAAAGATATGTAAGAATTATGTGATATATATATTTCAAAAAGGAGGTTCCTGCATTTTCATCATAAATAATTGATAAATATTTCAGATAGGCCTGACCTGATTTGTACAATAAACAATATGTGCATGCATCAAAACATTACATATTGGGCCAGGGAGATAGCTCAGTAGAATAAGTGCTTGCCTGGCAAGCACAGGGCTCTAAATTCAATCCCTTGTACTGAGGAAAAAAAAAAAAATTACATACTACTTAGATGTACAATTTTTTATGTTTATGAACAGCTAAGTAAAAAGAAAAAAAAATTAAAGTAGCAAAATCCATGTGACTGTGAGGCCAAGATCAAGGCCAACCTGAGCACTACAGCAAGACCTTGTATCAATCAATTAATCAATCAATCAACAAATAAATAAATAAATAAAAAGTGAATGTAATTTTAGGAAATTAAAGCTAAGAATAACTAAGAATTTTCTTAAAATCTTGCTGCAAGTTTGAAATCACATTAAAAAAAATTTACATGTATCTTTCCCCAGTACATGCTGATATATTGTTATTCATTGTTTTTGGACATTATCACTCTATATACTAACATGGAAGATTTCTTAGAAATATTAAGTAAAACAACCAATTCACAGACCAACATGTAATACAAATACATTTGTATGAAAACAACACAAATACATTTTTACAAAAACAAATCAGGGCCAGGGAGATGGCTCAGTAGAATAAGCGTTTCCCTGGTAAGAGTAAGGGCCTGAGTTCAATCCCTGGTTCTGCCAAAAAATAAAAAAAATAAAAATAAAACAGACCAAAGCATTGGCACATGACTATACACACTGTATGTGTGCACAAATGTCATGGAAATAAAAGAAAGTGACTTTGAGGTGTGAAAGCTGGGAAAGGAGGCCTTTCATACATATTTGATAACTCTCCATCCTTCTCTTTGTGTGTTTGTGATTTATTTTATTACAGAAATGGACTATTTTATGGCTGGCATAATCTGTCTAAATTTTTAACTTCAAAGAAAGAGGAAAGTTCTTACCTTCTGGTCAGTTAACTTAGGCCAAAACTAAATGTTTGAAGTAAGGCACTTCTGTCATTTCCATGTAGTCTGCTACTTTATTCTCAGAATTCAGCAAACTACCACATTACCTATTCTCTTAATACTCAACAAAATTAGAGGGTATTTTCTTTATAGTAGTATAGACATTCACCACATTTCTTTCTTTTTAAAAAGCCTAAATGTGATATTATAGACATTTCTTAAACCTAGTTTTAAACAGAACTAAAAAAGATGAATAATAAAAATCAATCTATCCCGAGTACTACTCAGATGAAACATTTGCCAGTAAAATGAGAAAAACAGTAAGAGATAGCTGATACCTTGGTAAATTTCAAATGGATATGAAGTTCACTATTAAAATTGAGCGGGGAGGGCTGGCCAAATAGCTCAGCAGATTAAAGCACCTGCTTAGGCAGACGCAGAGGCCAGGGTTCAATCCCCAGTGTGCTGTGCTGGTCCTGTCCCCCAGGGCATGCTGAGACAGCGATTGAGAATGGTCATGGTGACATGCACTTGTAATCCCAGTTCTTTGGGAGTCTGAACACAGGTGGATCACTATGCGTCCAATCTATGTAGTGAGACTCTGTAGACCCTTACTAAAAAATACAAATTAAATAAATAAAATAAAATTGAGGGGAAATGAGTATATATGAAAATATAACATTAATAAATAATTTCATTAACAGGACAGGCTTTTTTCTTCATAAGGTTAAACTCGAAACTCATAAAAACTATATATATAAAATTTTAATGCATAAAATATAAACATTCTAACTATGAATTTGAAACACAAGTTGAGGGCTAATATCCCTAAGCCCATAGAATTTCTTTAAAAAGAAATAATAAAGATACATAAACAGGGCCGGGGAGATAGCTCAGTAGAATAAGCACTTGCCTGGCAAGCGCAGGGTCCTGAGTTCGATCCCTGGTACCACAAAAAAAAAAAAAAAAAAAAGATACACAAACAGCTCACAAAATAACAAACTACTACAATGTTGAAATTCACTAGATTCAAGGAATCAAATTAATATGAGGTGCCTTTTCTTTTTCTTCCTACAAGAATAACAAAGATTTAATAAAATCCTAAAAACATTTAATTTTAGCAAGGATATCATGAAGGGGGCACGTGCATGATCTATTGATAGGATGCAAATTGGTTTTTCTCAAAGTACTTCTGGAAACATGGGTCAATTTTAAATATTTGTTTCCTTTGACTCCATTACTCTGAGTAAGAAATTTATTCTGTGATAAAAGGGAGAATTGATGACTAGAGATACACAGCATATACATATATAAACATATATTAATAAATACACATATATATTTTTATTAAAATATCAAAGAATGGGCTGACAAGATAGCTCAGTGGTCTAAAGCCCCTGCTTAGGCAAGCTGAGCAGGCCACAGAACAAACAAACAAACAAACAAAAAAATCAAAGAATTAAAAGTAAAATTCAATAGAGGAGTACAAAGATCTATATTAATACAATGTCATACATAAAATAAAGAAGGCATTAATAGAAAGATCTACTTGAAACTTATGATAATTACACTGTTAAGTGGGGGTCTGAGATATGCTGAGCATAGTATCAGTTACATAAAACAACACACACACACACACACACACACACACACACTCACAAGAGATCAGTGCTATTCAGTAACCACCCAAAAAATGTGTATATACTCCACAAAAAGAAAACATTGTATGAATATTTTAATACATCCCAAACATTAACTCTTCGTAAATTGACTTCTTTGTCCATAAGCATATTAGGATTTTCATATTCTTAGTAAATTTACTATTGAAATATTTATACATGTTTTTCTTTCCTGAAGTGTATATACATTTTTTCTTTTTGCAGACTATGTATCAGATTATACGGTTAGCTTTCAAGTAACTTATTTTCTCTACATATTTTTGTGTTTTGATATTTTTACAAACTGTGATGTATTTAAATTGAAAAGTTAAAATGGTTTGATTTCAAAGGAAAAAATGTTTGACTATCCTAACACACAGCTAAAATACTCCTCCGCATAGTACAGTCCAACTTTAAATGCTAGGTAATAGAAAAGTTGCTTACCAAACGCTTAGTTTTCTCTGAAATATCTGATTTCTTTTGGGAATTTCCCTCTTGCAGAACTATCTAAAGGAAAAAGTAAATAAAATGTTTTACGATGATTCAAAATTTTGTCACTTATTGCTTTCTCATAAAATAAAGGTAAGAAAGAAAAGTTAAGGGCTGGAGAGATAGTTCAGTAGAATAAGTGCTTGCCCAGCAAGTTCAAGGTCATGAGTTCAATCCCCAGTACCACCAAAAAAAAAAAAAAAAAAAAAGAAAAGTGAGTTAGCCCACATAGTCTCAAACTGTTCATGATGCACCCAGGCCAAAATAAATATATAAGCATTTTTTTCATTAAGCAGCTAAGTCCAAACAACTGCATAATTTCTGCCACAACAATGTTGCAACTCTTTGATAAAATAATACAAAATGAAAAAATTTTAGTGAACTGTTAAATAACCCCAACTATTTACTAACTAGATGTGTGTACTTACTGGGCGTTGCATGCATTCACACTCCTTGTAATCAGATGGGACACAGAAATTCTCATTTCTTCTTATAATGTTCACAGAGTACTTGCTTTTTACCATGGCAAATGCCATGACCTCAGCTTCACAAAGTTCCAAAGGATAAGTAAAATGATCTACTATTAAAATTGTGAAGTTCCTGAGGTCATGGTTCAGGAAGCACAAATATAACAGAGGCTGAGCGTACTATTTCCCTGGAATTTTAAAATATCCTGAGGCATCTTTAAAGGCTGGATGCAGAGTCTAGGATAATGGCAAGCAAAGAACTCTAAAAAGTTCTATTCATCCAGGCTGCATGTGAGTCTAGCAACAAAAACTAACCATCATTATTGAATATAGTTGAGAGAAGATATATTCAGTAGTGAAGATACATTCAGTACAAGAGCACAAGCAGGTGTAACTCTGTTTAATAACTGAAAGATATGTACTCTTATGCCCATGACATGCCCCTCTACAGCTGCAATATTATTTTAAAGTCTGGCATGTTTTATGACAGATACCGTTTTTTGACGAAACTCCTGATTCAGTGATTGCTGCAACTCCTGAATATCATCTGTAAGTTGCTTGAACTCTTCTTGCTCTTCAACAGGAACAGAACTGACCAAAGCAAGATAGATTAAAATAACATTTACCTTATTCTTAACCTTGAAAGACCAAACTGGCCAGGGAGATAGCTCAGTTGAATAAGCGCTTGCCCAGCAAGCACAAGGGCCTGAATTCAATCCCCAGTTCTACCAAAAAAAAAGAAAGAAAGAAAAGACCAAACTAAAATCTCTGCCATCAAATAACTTTGGGGAGAACCTAATTTCTTATTTGTAAATTTTAAACCTTGGTATGAAAGCAATTTGAAATAAGACAGCCTGGCCTCTATTAAGAGAACAAAATTCATTTGATCACCTTCAATTTTCAACCATCGAATCTATGCATTAAGCTCTGCATACTTATGCTATCAACTTCATACAGCATTCCTTCTACTTCTCTGGTTCTTAGCTCCTATTCAAGTATCATATATTACTCTGTTCCACTGATCCTCCCTAATGGCACATATACATGTCTAATATGAATATCCTTGATATGAATGCTATAAATTTAGTTTTTGCCTATCTGATGCATTAGCCATCTGTTTTTATTGGTTTATAAATTCTACTTTTAATCTTTGTCCATATTTCTAATAAGCCATTTCTTTTCGGCTTGTAGGAATTCTTTGTATATTAGGAAAACTACACAGGTTTTATTAAGTTATTTATTATCATTATTATTTTGTATTTTAGGGAAGGGTCTACAGGATGTTCAGGGTCTCACCGCTAGATAGGACTAATAGTGATCCCCCTATTTACAGCCTCCCAAGAGCTGGGAATACAAGCGTGCCCCACCACGTCCCGTCTCAATTGCCCTCTTGGCGCACTCTGGGGACGGAGACAGCACAGCAGGCCCAGGGATCAAACCCTTTTTGTAGGCGCTTTGATCTGCTGAGCTATTTGACTGGCTCAAGAGTTATTTACTATTGTTTGCACTGTGTGCTGCAAATATATTCTCCCAGTTTGTTGTTTTTGACCTGGTTTATAATAGTGTCTTTTACCATGCTAAATGTTTATATTTGCCTCTCATGCCCAATCTTATCAATTCTTTGTTAACTGCAAAAGCAATCTTTATTAGAGACAAGTCAGAAAAGCTCTCATCTACAAGAGGTAACCTCAAAGATATCAACAGAGGCTTCTGCTTAAAAATCAAGAGACGATCTTCAATTTAAGATGTTTCCACTTTATTTTTAAATTTTCCAGTAATGCAAAAACAGGCATTTAGTAAAAACTGCACTTCATATTTTGAATTTTAATCTCTTCCTAGGCTAGTGATAGGTGGTCACACTGAGCATCCGGCTGTAGATCCCCAAAAGCCAGGTGATCATGAAATGAGCCAGGTGATCATGAAGATGAACAATGTTTCTCTACAATGCAGTGTGTGCCTAAGTTATGCTGTTTGGCAGGTGTACTAAATGTTTTCAACTGAGTAATAGTTTCAGCTTAAGATGGACTTATCAGGACATAATTGCATTCTAAGTTAAAGAGCTTTTACATATTTAAGGAAGGCCAAGAAATTACAACCCCTGGATGATTCTGTCCCCTCTAAACCTTTGAGTCTAAAAGAAAATACTGTTGGGAAGAGTAAACATCTAAGATTCAAAAAATGAACAACAAAGAGTCCAGAGAGTTGTTGCTCATATAAATAACATAAATACAGATACAAGTTATATGTTAAGGTCTTCGAACAAATCAAATTAACACAGTAATGAGAATGAAGCCAAAGATCATATAATTAAGAAACAGATGTAAAAAACCCCAAAACTTGTTTTTCTTCTGTTAGAAAAAACAAACAGATATTCTGCCATACATTAGGGAAAATAAAGAAACAAGGTCGACTACAGGGTTTTAATAGATGGCTAGCACTTCATTTTGCTTGTGTCTGTGAATCCCCACTTACTCAAGCCTCTCCAGTTTCATCAGTGCCTCCTGGTGTGCAGTGTTCAGCTGCTGCATTTTGTCCACTGAGGATTTCTATTAAAGCAATTTTAATAATTTCTTATTAGCACTTCTCAACACAAACAGGGATGAATTTGTTTTTAAACAGCACACACTACAAAATATTCACCCTATAATTTTCATCATCAGAAGGATGCAATTTAAATAGAAGTGACATTTATTTTTATTTATTTTTTCTTTAAAGGTTTAGACAGATAATATTTATTATTTTATTTATTTTTGTATTTAATACAGGATCTGCAGTCTACAGGGTCCCACTACACAAATCAGACTCATAGTGACCCTCCTGTTTTTAGATTCCCAAGAGCTGGGATTACAGGCACAAGCCACCATGCCCAATCTTAATCCCCATCTCAGCACACCCTGGGGGCAGGGTAAGGCAGGCCCAGGGAGTGTCTCTTAATTCACTGAAAAGTTAGGCTTGTACTAATATCTACTTGAGAAAACTTTAATGTCCATATCTTATATTCTGAATAATTATAATAAAGATAACAATATGCAACATATTAACTATTTTTATGAAATTTTTACTTTTGTTCCATTGGAAAAGAATGAGTCATGAGCCAAACAACCCTGTGCATGTGCATGCGTGTTAGCACAAGCATGTGTGACCTTTACAAAGAATTTGTGATGCCCGAGAGGTATGAACTTAGCATGATTCGTGTAAAGAAGTATTTTATGCAGCTCAATGCAGCTGCAGTGTCAGGGCTGTCTGCTATCACTCTGGTGGCATGTAAGAGTACAGCATACCAAAAGGAAGACAACTGGAAACAAGTTATACAAATGACCCATAATCTTCACAAATTCTCTAAATTGTTCTAGAAAGAAAAATGAGTTTTCATCTGTTAAGGTGATTGCCTAGCACTGAATCATATAATTCAATACTGGGCTAAAAAAGTTAATACAAACAGTCCAATTAGGCCATTTATTAAGAGCCAAATATCTCAGTTATTTAAAGAGCACTACACTATCAATGAAACCTTCAGAGATAAAATGTAAATGTTGATATCAATGTTCTCTCTTCTAACATTTCCTAATATAGGGAAAAAAAAAAAGCCTCAGCTACAAGATAACAACAAAAACCCAATCCCTCACTGTTAAAAAGAAAACAGCTTGAGATACAGCAGTACCTCGGTTCACAAACATTTGGTTCTTTCCACACTTCTGGTCACAAATCAAATGTAACAAGAAGCAAATCTGATGCAGTGGTTGGGCTCAATGTTGATCTCATGGGGAAATTTGCTCTGGTTTTCCTTCAGCTCAGCTTGTGACCAGAATTGTGAAAAGAATTAAGTTCATGAACCAAGGTAAGACTGTATGGTTTCTACAAACTACAGTCTGAAATGTTATATGAATATTAAAACAAATTCAAGTCTAAGTGCCATGCAGCAATCTGATTAATAGTTATAAATAATATTAATGATCTGATATGTGACACATATACATATTTAAATCTTACATATTTCCAAAGAAATTCCAGATATGTCTCACGACATGCTTCTCTGAAGTGAATAAAGTTGATAATTCCACTTAAAAATCGACTTGTCCGTTTTGCTTCTAAAACAGAAAGCAAGACTGAATTAAATCTTTGAAACAATACAAAAATGAAAACACATCCTTTCCCATCATATTAGTTTATTCATGTTATATGAAACTCTATATACACTGTAACAAAGTACACAACATTTGCTTAATGCAAACACTGAAGTTATCTTTGCAATAATAACAAAAAAAGATAACCCACTTAGGGAACAATGGTAGAGATTAGATTGACCCTCTCATCTTAACTTTTTTTTTTTTTTTAAGCGAAACCAGGGATTGAACTCAGGCCCTTGAGCTTGCCAGGGAAGTGCTTATTCCACTGAGCCATCTCCCTGGGCCCGACCCTCTCATCTTAAACAACTGGAAAAACAAATAAAATGCATGAAGCAAGAAACTTTCAAAACTAGACCACAGGCAATATGATAGCAATCCCCCAAAGACTCAGCAACGGAACACTGTCAACATGTGAGTATGAAGAAACTACTAATGCTATAAAACTAACCAGAAATATTTAAAATAATTTTAAAAAATATACCACCCAGTAATATAAAATTACATCTAGTATCCAACAAAATGATCAGAAATGCAAAGAAACAGGATAATACACATAACGACAAAAATATCATGAGGAGATAGCTGTATAGCAGGCAAAAATAGCCTGTATGAATATATTTTAGCTGTTTAAGAAGATTAAAAACATCAGGACTATGAAAGCAAAAGGAAAGGTTCTTAAAAGATCTGAATCAAACTTTTAGAATTGAAAAAATCTCAAAAACTACACTACATGGGACTAACACAGGCTGGATATAGAGAAGAAAGAACAAGTAAAATTAAAGACAGTAATAGGAGACATCTGAAATAAAGGGCAGAAAGAAAAACAACAAAACAAAAACAAAAACATTAAAACAATTGAATGAAATATCTATGACCAGAAAGACAAAACAAGCAATATAACAAGTACATAAGTGGAGTTCTGCTAAAAGGAAGAAGAAAATAAAGCAGAAATGTTCAAATTTTACAAAATCTATAATTGTATCCAGGAGAATGAACAAATCTACACAACAAGTAAACCAAAGCACAAACCCAGAACCCCTCTCCCCAAGCACATGATATCCAAATTATTGGAAATTTGTCATAAAGAGAAAATCTTAAAGGCAGCTAGCACAAAACAGAGCTAAACCGTATCACTGGAGCAAAGGTATCAACAGCAACAGACTTCTCCGCAGAAACAATGCAAGCCAAGAGACAAGGAACAGTAGCTTTAGAGCACTCAAAATACTGCCAATTGTGACTCCACGCTCAAGAAAAATATGTCAAAAAGTGAAACAAAGGCTTTTACCAACTGTACAAGAAATAGTAAATGAAATCCTTCAAGAGTAAAGAAAATTACTCCAGATAAGGATTGGATGTAATCTACAGAATGTAGGTTAATATAAAAGACATATTTTCCTTATTTGAAAAATTTCTTTAAAAGACAATGATCTGTTTGAAGCAAACCTAGTAACAGTATATCAAGGTATTAATGATATCTATAGAAATAAAATTATAGCACCATAACATAAAGACCAGGTTTGGTCAAAACACATTCTTCTAAAACATAATGTACCTGAAGATAGATAATACACAAAAGATACATACTTAACTGCAAAGCAAATACTAAAAACAAATAAAATATAATATACCAAAGAAGGAAATAAAAATAGGAATAAAAGGAAAAGGAGAATATAAAAAGAGGTAAATTTAATCATAATATTAATAAATGTAAACATTCCAATTAAAAGAGGATAAATTTTAAAAGCATGACCTAACTATATGCTGTCAATAAGCAATTCATTTCAAATACAGACAGAGATACACTTAAAGAAGTGTAGGATACCAAAGTGATATAAAAATAAGTAATACAAATCAAAAGAAAGCAGGGATGGGGCTGAGGAAATAGCTTCAAGGTCTAAGCGCCTGCCTGGCAAGCCCAATGACCAGGATTCGATCCCTGGTATCACATGCCACGCTGGCCCCCAAACCATGCATGGTGGCACATGCTTGTAATTCCAGTGCCAGGGAGGCTGAGACAGGAGAATCACTATGAGCCAAAACTGCATAGTGAGACCCCCTATTTATTTATTTATTTATTTTTAATTTTTATTTTTTTCCCCAGAACTGAATTTATTCATAAATCAAGGAAATTTATTTATTTTTGCGGAACTGGGGATTGAACTCAGACCCTTGCACTTGCCAGGGAAGCACTTATTCCACTGAGCCATCTCCCTGGTCCAGAGACCCCCCCTATTTAATAACTAAATGTTTTTTAAAAAAATATGCAAAAGAAAGCAGGATGGCTATAGTAAGATCAAATATAGTATATCTCAGTGCAGAGAATGTTTAATGCAAAGAATATAGTTCTAAATGGATAAGCCTCAAAACTAGAGCTGCAAGTATAAGAAACAAACAAACAAACAAGGCAAAACAGACAAATCTACAATCACAGCTAAAGACTGTATCTATTAATCATTCAACAAAGTAATTAGAAAAAATCCCTATGGATCTAAAGCTTGGCCACTATTACGCAACTGGATCAAAGTTTTTAGAAGACCACACCCAAGCACAGAGTAGGTACTTTCTAGCGCACATGCCTGGCTAACAAAGGCAGACTGCGTGGTACACTGTATAACAGCACCTAAGCACACCAAGATGCTAATCTTCAAAGCCTGTGCATGTCATCATTTATAAAAAAGCGGTTTTAGAGCTATGCAGATATAATTAATGATTTTCACATGGGGATATGATGTTTTGCGTTTTCCAGATGGGCTGTAAGTGCAATCACACTATCCCTGTAAGAGGAAAGCAGAGAGAAATTTCACCACAGACAGAGGGTGGAAAACAATGTGACAATGGAAGCAGAGAGATTTAAAGGTATTCTGTGGCTCGATTTTGAGAATAGAAGAGAGCCATTAGCCAAGGTGTGCAAGGACTGTGGCTCTATAGGAGAGAAAAGGCAAGGAAAAGGTTTCTCCTCAAAGAACCTCTTGAGAAAGTGCTCTCCTGACACCTTAGGTTTAGCTCAGTGCAAGCAACTCTGAACTTCCCACTTCTGCCACCATCAGGGAACAAATGTATGCTATCTTAGGTGACCAAATTTGTGATACTTTATTATAGGCATCAGAGTAAACAAATACAAATCAGATTTTGGGCTATAAGTATGAATACATTTTGATGAATTTAAATGATACAAAGTCTATTCTGTGGTCACGAAGGAACTAAATTATAAATTAGCAACAAAAAGACTGCTGAAAACCCCCAAATGTTCTGGAAGGTAGACAACACAGTTATAATCTGAGAGTCCAGAGGAAATCAAAAGGAAAATTAGAAAATATTTTGAACTGAATGAAATGTAACCTACCAAGGCTTAATATGCAATTAAAGCAGGACTAGAAAAACTTTACACAAAACCCTTATTTTAGGAAAGAAGAATTGCAAATTATTGGCTTTAGCTTGTGCTTAAAATGAAAAAAACAACAAAAAAACCCAGACAGAAAAGAAAAAAAATCTAAAGTAAACATGAGAATGTTCATGGCAGCTTTGTTCATAATGGACCAATATTAGAAATAATTCAAATATCTTGTTGGTCAATGGGTTAAAAAATTGAGCTATACATTTATAAGAGAATATTCAAAAGAAAAAAGAAACAAAGTACTAATAAATGCAATGCACAAGGTAAGTTTCAAAAGCATTATGCTTAAAGAAGCTAGACATAAAAGAATACAGAGTGATTTCATTTGTATGAAATTTCAACAGTCAAAACTGTACTGACAGAAGACATGTTAACACTGGCAAAGGAACGGGAGTAGCTGAAGAAGACTTATTGCAAAGCAACAGGAAGGAACTTTTGATGGTCAGGAAATTGTTCTATTCATGATTATGAAGGTGCTTACACAACAATATACACTTGTTAAACATCATCCAAGCTACATTTATTTATTTATTTATTTATTTTTGGAGGAACTGGGGATTGAACTCACTCCCTTGCACTTGCCAGAGAAGCACTTATTCCACTGAGCCATCTCCCTGGTCCCCAAAGCGACATTTAAAATAGGTGGATTTTATTGTATGTAATTACATGTCAATAAGCAATACAAAAACTAAGAGATACAAAGGAAGATTTAAAAACAAAATTTAAATAATACACCAAAACAAAAAAACTGATGGATAAATATTGAGCCAAATGGATTTTTGACATGCAAGTAAAGCTAAGAAAATTTTATATTCTAATAAACACCTATTATTAGTAATTAAATGGACTTTCTTCATGGTGAAAAGCAATTGTTGATTTAATAAAACTGAATGATTAATACACTATGCAATATCAAATCTGAACATTATTTGTATACCCAAATTTGTAAAAAAAAAAAGTTTTTAAAGGTTCTAAAAAATTAAATGAAACTTTTCTATGGATCTACACTTAAAACAATTTTAGTAATAGGATATGTAATAATTCACTATTAAAGATGGAATAAGGGCCCTCTAGACAGTTCAGCTAGACTAAGCACCTGCTCAGGGAAGCGCAGGGACCTCAGCTGGATCCTAGTTCTACATGCTGCGCTGGCCCCACCCCCAGGCACGCTAAGCCTACCACTGAGACTGGGTATGGTGGTGTATGTGTGTAATCCAGCTCTGGGGAGGCTGAAAATAGGAGGATCACCATGAGTCTGAGCTGTAGTGAGACCCAGTACCAAATACAGAAAAACAAATAAATAAATAAAATAAAGATGAGATATATTTTCTTAAATCCATATCCTTTTAAGTTTTTCTTTTATATTTGTCAGTAGAAAGGTAAACTGGTAGACTGATTCTAGAAATGAAAAACTGCTTTAAATTCTCACTTACTTGGATATAGAATATCAGCAATCTCAAAGTCATTTACCCGGCAGATAGGCAGGAATGAATCTCTTAAATAAAAATATCAAAAAGAGTATTTTAAATTGTACCTAGTCACAAGAACATAAACATTTCATTTTCAAATGAATTTCTGGGTACATATCTCAATGTTAAAGGATCTACAAAGCACACACTTATAGCATTAAAATCTATTTTTTCTGTATATCATATAAGTGTTCATGAAATACTAAGGTACAGTTATAGATTTTAATAAATAACATACTTTTGAAGTAACTAAGACTTTCTAAGAACTCAAAATCCTACATTTAATTAGGAAACTTTTGGATTCACATCATATTAGAACTTCAGTGCAGGGCTGGGGAGATAGCTCAGTAGAGTAAGTGCCCGCTTGACAAGCGCAGGGTCCTGTATTCAATCCCCAGTATCACAAAAACAAATAAACAAACAAACAAAAAAAGAACTTCAGTTCAAAGTGTCCGGTGTCCTAAGGATGGTCAGAGTTGGAGGCAATTCTGCTGGTAGAACTTACAATTCTGCTAGGTAGAACTTACAATATATGTGGGATGAAGTAGAGATTGAGATGGCAGAACTCCTTCTCAAAGAAAATCATATCATTGAGGCTTACTGTAAATATGAAAAAAAATATCTTAAGGGCCAGCCAGTTAGCTGCTTAGGCAGGCACAAGGACTGGGGTTCAATCCCTGCTGTGCCCTGCTTGCTCCGCACCTGGGGTGCACTGAGACAGCAAATGAGACTGGGCGTGGTAGTGTGAGCTTGTAATCCCAGCTCTTGGGAGGCTGAAAACAGGAGGATTACTAGGAGTCTGATCTGTGTAGTGAGACCCTGTAGACACTGTACTAAATACATTTAAAAAATAAAATTAAAAAAATCTTTACTCACAGATGAATAAATAAATTGCTGACAGGTAGAAAGCCCTCCATTATATGTGGATACATGACTTCTGAGTTAACTGGCATCTAAACACAGTCACAAAAGGCAAGTTATACAACAATTAGACAAAATGAGAAAATTCTTCAATCATAAAAAGTCTTACAGTTAATCTCAAACTATGTTAACTTATCATTAAATTTGAAAAAAATTAACAGTAGATATTAATCTCAATAATGTGAGGTTCAAAACAAGTGATTATTAAAATTTTTAAATCAATGAAAAACTGAAAAAATAACTGTGAGCGTTTACTAAATAGCAGGTACTCTCTCAGACATTTTACATACATTCTCAATCCTATCAATCCTATTAGAAAGTGCTACCCCTATTTTACAGTCAAAGAAACTAAACTTCAGCAAGGTTTCATAGTAACTAGGTGGCAAAACCTTTGATCTTTAAACAATATGCAATCATACTAATGAGATTCCAGAGATATTACGTTCTCAAAGTATCTTCACATATACCTTGAAGAGCATGACAACAAAAAAAGTTTAATATAAATGATCTTTCCTGCTAGAAATATCTGATTTGCTAAAAGCTCCTTTGCCTCATTTTAATTGTTTCAATATTATTGTGCATCCTTTATTATAATCTGGGAATCCTTCCTAAGAAGAAAACGATACTTGTGAAAACTTTGCTGTTGTTTATTAGTCTCTGAAGACAGACATATAAATCTGTGCACAATTTCATAACATCAATAATTTGTAAGTGTCATTTAGGTCTTTTACTATGTTTTCAGCTTACTAAAGCTATCAATATAAGTCATTAGTATGTCTAGGATTCCTCTGTAGTTGACATTAATTTCATATCAGTGTTTCAATTTATTAAATATAAATTCAAGAACTTCTAGACAATATACACTGTGAGCAGGAGAACTGGAATAAATAAACAAGAATGTCAGAAAGATTATTCTGTTTCACTGTAAACTCACCATGTAAAAATGCTCCAGTCGAATTCCATATACTATTTGTAAGGCTCTCATGTAAATCATGTGCAATACTTCAGGCTAAAATAAAAACACAACTTTTAATATTCTCACGCATGATTTTAATGTTGCAGCTCTCACCAATACTGTAATCATTGAATGCAAAGAAGAAAACGGCAACAAAAGGACTCTATCTCCATCGAAATATGTCAAAATTTTCCCAAATTTTGTAACACTCAATGATACTTACAATTTGTTCATATATAATAAATGGTAAAAAATTAAATTAAAAAAAAAAAAAAACCAAGCAGCCCTACCCATGTTAGCCAAAAATAGTAGTCTTTGAAAATAGGCTATCAAGTATGTGGCAGAAATGCTGGCACATTGAGGATGTATTTTTAAAAATTACAAGAAACTGGTTTACTGTCTTAGATATTAAGGATTTCCTAGGTTTAAACTTTACTTGGCATAAAGGGTATAAATGTAATGGGATAATAAAGATTTTTTTAAATGTTCTAAATCAATAGTTCATAAATGTTGGCCTGTGAACATATTACAATCCATACACTGTACAAATTTATTGAATGATCAAGAGTGCTATGTATAGAAATGTGACAATCTTTTCCTAAAATAAAATGTCCTAATGGCCTAGCATTTACTGTGCCTTCTACCTTAAAGAGTTAAAATATATTAAGATCATAAAGTTTTATTTCTACACCATTAAATCAACTTTTCCTGGGTTATCACTCCAAGACCAACGCAGGAAACTGGAAGGCAACTTGGGAATTTTCTGTGGTACATAAGTAGCTCACTTTTGCATTTAATAAGTAAACATATAAAGAACAACACCTGTCAAAGCAAGTCAAGTCCCTTCTGGGGCATAATGCAAGAAAATTAATCTCTAAGCTCCCAAAGAGGCTTGTTTCTAGGCATTTTTGTGGTTGCAAACCACTTGGAATAAGTTCCATCAAGTCCTACCAATAAATAATACTCTCACACCACAACCCCAATAATAATATAAAATTTAATATACTTTAACACAGCCATAAAGCTTAAAGGTATTAAAACAACAATAACAACAATGTTAAAGAACTGAATTCCTAATGGGAATGTTGAAGTTGCCCAAGATATAAATCAAACGTTATTTTAAAATTACACTAGGTAAGAGATTTTTCTCCAGATTAAAAATGACTAGCCTATATTAAATAGAATATGTGCCTTTCTTGTCACACCACAAACCTAATAGCTTACTTTGCTCTCACATACCACATCCACATGCAAACATAACCAAATATTACCTTTGGATTTGGGTAAAGATCATTCTTGGAGAAGTTTTTACCATCAGCTCCAGTTAAGAATTTATTGCGAATATGAACTACAATCTCAGCAACACTGTATCTGGGAAAAGACAAAGTTTCCATCTTGGAAGTTTCCTTCTAGCCTGAAGAAAGAAAAAACAAAGATCAGACATACAACCAGTAGTTTTCATTGTCTGGAAACTGATAAACATAAAAACAAAATGAAGCAATCAAGGTTGAAATAGTCAAGGAGTGTCAGCCATATCTTAGTAAGATAAAAGATACAGATTTCATTTATGTGTGTGTGTAAATGTATATAAATATCCCTAAAATAACTCTTATTTCAAAATAATACATTTATCTTATGTTAATTTTCCTAATGCTGTTCTCTTCCACAATGGAAGGACTGGTTGACAGGTAGTTGGCAAATTATGTATTTCTCTTTACACATTTGGGGGCCAGCTGATTTAAACAGATCAATCCAAGGATTAATACTCAAAGTATAAGGCAACATCATCAGCAAAAGCTATATATAAACAATAGTAATATAGGACAGATAATGAAATTGCATCCTGATTTGACATCCTATTTAATATACACATGAGATGGTTAATGTAGTTAAGATGCAAGTAAGAGAAAAAGATTAGAGGTTACATTAGCAGGGATTACTACCACTAGAGATAAGAATTTTAAAATAACAAAGCAGCGAAAAAGTCCCCTAATGCATTCAGATAGAGAATTACTCCTATCTATGCCTCCTAAAGTAGTCATTCTTCCAAATTCATGTCCTCTTCTCCAGGGTACAACTGGAAATGACCAGATACATTTTTGGTTCTCACAATGGGAGTGGAGATGCCATTAGAATTTAGTGAGTAGAGGCTAGTGATACTGTAAAATATAGAACGCACTGAGTAGCCACTCCCAGCAAAGAATTATCCAGCTCAAAATATCAAGAAGGCTGAGGATCAGAAACTCTGCCCTCGAGTATATACTTAGCTATGTCGTAATACAACAACATACGGGGATGACTTCTAGAACTCCAATGGTACACTGTGAGATTCCAGTAAGTTATGCCCTTTTTGTTTTCTTATCTCTACAAGTGTATAATAAATAGCAACACTAAGAGCTAGAAGAGCAGTAACATCAGCCGATATCACCATCACTCACTTAAATGCTTATTTAATTATCCAGATACACGCCCCCACTCCCCAGTTAAGCAACATAACCCCAAAGACTTAACATAAATATATTCAATTCTGCAAACTAAAATGGTCCTCAATTCTGGAAATCTGTTTCTTAGGCGCCACATGTTTCTTAGAATATGAGGATTAAAAAGAAGCTTTGGCAAGGTGCCTAGTCTCTAATAAACGTAGGAGGCCTTCCTCCAAGATGACTGTCAAATAACTTCCTAGTTCTTCTTGAACCCTTGAAAACATCACAGAATTCATTAACTCATGGCAAATTTCTTTCACTTCAGCAAGGCTCTAATAATTAGATAAACCTTCCACATATTGAACAGAAGCATAGTTGTAACTTTTACCCACGGGTCTAATTTCTGGTCATTGCAGCTACATAAAATATATTAATCTCTGCTTTGTGATACTACTTTCAAAAATGTGATGAGAGCTATGTCTCTGCTCAGCCTTCTCTTCTTCAAGGTTAAATTCACTTTCTTTACATACAGTCATTCCTTGTATGACACTGTTTTGGAAAGTACCCTTGGTGAGGGGAAAAACAACAGCAGCAACCCTTTTTCTTACTCTACTCACTGAACAATTAGGGGAGAGGACCCCCCCAACCCACCAAGGGAGTAAGCAATAATGTAGTCCAGCCCAGTGTCCTCTAATTCTGACACTAACAACTAGAGACAGTATCAGAAGTTATCAGATACCACAGGGTAAGGGGAGCAGTCCAAGACTGCTCCCCCCACTTAATATGCCAATTGCAAGCCTAAATGATTTTCTTGGTTTTGGCCAACATGCTGTAGCATGTTGGAGGTAGAGGCTGCCATCTATCAGTCAACCATAAATAAACAAAAATACACTTCACATTCTGAAAGTTCCAGGGATTTTAGTTGTGTATCAAGAACGTGGAAGAAAGATAAAATACATATTTTCACACTATCACAACATCCTACTTACCTTCCTCTAAAATATTACTTATCAATGCCTTCTTAAAATGTAATGTGAAAAATAAATATAACACTCCATCTAGTGGACACAGGACAGATTATTAACACAGCACACTACAATTGTAGCACCTACAAATACATGCTTATAACCAACTGAAACTCAAGAACTTCTTCAACAAGATCCATTTGTAGGGGCTGGGGAAATGACTCAGTGGAATAAGCGCTTTCCTGGCAAGCACAAGGGCCTGAGTTCAATCCCCGGTTTTGGGGGGGGCGGGGAAATAGATCCATTTATATCAGCCAGGATTATCCCATGTTCTTAACTTACTATAACATGTACCTTAAAATTTATGATTGCAAACCTTTACTTTAGAGCCAATATCATTTCGGATCTAAATTTGGATACCTCACATTGTTAGGTGTTTCCTTTTCCCAGCATAAAAGCTATTTCTTTGGTATATTTCCAGTTGGTTTTGGACAGAAATTGCATACTTCAACTGGCACAGAAATAGCACTCAAAAGCTGTCATTTCATAAAAACAAATTTATAAATACATATCTACATGTGTAAACAGTGAAACCAGCAAAAGCTTTTCTATCAAACACGGTCATTTCTGCATAGGAAAGATTTATGCACAGGAAGGGAGTGAGTTTGGTCTGGCCCAGACAGAATACCACAGGTGGCCACCACCTGGAAGTATAAAGAGATAACCCCAATCGCTCTACACATCTTCTCTTTATACTTCCAAACTGTGCAGCCACCTCTCTTCTCCCCAGAAGTCCAAACCACTCTCTGTTTATCCCTTTGATTCTTATACTCCTGTGTGTACACAACTCCTGTGCTTAGGTACAGAATAAATTCTAGAGTTTCCCCCTTAAATCTCTTATTGCTATTTACTTCACAGACTAACATTATCAAACGTTCAAGGACAAGAGTAAACACAACACTTCTCTTCATATGCATTGCATATTTTCATCTGTCACATTTAAAAACTATCGGTAAACAAATAAAAATAAAAACTATCGGTAAAAGGAAAAATTGCAAAAACAATTTACTTTTCCAAAATAAACATCTGGATTAGAGATTACAGTATCACAACAGAAAGAGTAGGTGCAATATATCATCATAATTATCACACATCTCTCTGCAATGTTTTGTACACTTGTTTGTTTAGTTAATGCTTAGAAAACATGTAGCGCACCACATACTTGTACAAGAACACTTGAATTGTCTCATCCACCACATCCAATTTAACATTATGTGTCTGGCTTTTTAAACCTTTAATAATCTAACTATCCGCTGTAGATTGTTTTATTTTGGAACAGATGACTTCCCATATCCAAATTCTGTTACTCCTTCATAGCACAACTGCAGTTTCAATTTACTCCTCTGAGTGTGTGTATTTCCGCTCACACGCACGAAGAAAGAACTTTCAACTACGTTAATTTGTGTTTTTTAAGTGGGATAAAAGACATGGCTACAGATTCTGTGTATGGAAAACAACCATTTGGCAGCTTAGCCAGTAGCACAGACTATCTGCTAATTACCTCTCAGTGGCTCATTTATTTGCAATATCATGTTTTCAGAGAGCAGATATTGAAAGGATCATCTGCTCAACATTACACGCTTAGTTCTGCCAAACATTCACAACTCCAGGCGGAAAAGATTAAACAAAAATAAACAGAAATACCTCCCAGGATCTCAACCAGTTAACCCTAGAACTCATACAAGGGAGAAAAATAGCGGCCTTGGACGCTCCGTTCCGTTATTTTTGCATTTTTCACCTTTGGTTCATAGTTTTGGACGTGGCTAAGAAATACGTCCATAGAACGTTGACAACCAGTCAAGCCCCTGTAACATCACTCTTCCAGACAAACATAAATACAAGCTTAAATTAACGTGCTTCAGGTCGAGTCTCTCTTCCCAGTCTACACCACACAGGTAAGACCCACCAGCGTCTTGGGAACTCACCGCGGGTCTTTCGGGGACTAACACCAATTGGACAGGAGCGAGGGGCTGGTCCCCAACTTTCTAGGCGCCAGCTGCTCCCGCCTTCTCCCTTGCGCGCACCACGAAAACACTTAGAGCAGTTTCCTGACGCCCAAGGAGCTGTTCGGCGCCTCTGTTTCTTTCCTCCGTCCTCCCGCGCCTGCCAGTGCTTACCTACTGCCTCAGCAGCCGGCCAGAAGAAAGGGGATTCACTGAGTCGCGACGGTCAAAAATCAGCAAACGCCAACCGTTGCCACTTTTCAAACCTGCCGCTTCTACTGGAAGTCCCGCCTTTTTCTGCCCCGCCCACTGGTGATGGGTACCGGTAGGGCTCAAAAGACTCAGGAGCGTGCCGCCTAACTCCAGAAGACTGAATGCTGGGCTCCAGGCAGGCGGAACCATTGTTTCTTTGGAGCTGGTTTCTAGTCGGAACTACGATTCAGAGGAAGGGGCAGCGCCTCTGCTGGGGGAGGAGCCTAGAGTGGGCGTTCTGTCAGTGGCTTTTCCTGAACACTTGAGAGCACCTGGGCTTCCACGTGAGGAGCAAAAGCAAGCTGGCAGTGTTAGGAGACATTCTTTAAGCACAGGGTGACAGAGGGGCTATCAGCGAACCAAGGGTAAGTCAGAGACCCAGCGAGGTAACATGAATAGTTGTGAAGCCGGGAGCTGCTGGATGCTCTGACAAGCATCATTTGAGTTTTGTGGTAAGCGCTGGGGTCGGGGAGCGGAGAGGTACCTCGCAGAAGAGGGCCGTACGTCTCGCCGAGATATTACGTAACTAGCGGTAAGCCACGCAACTTAGTCGTCTGGTGAGCGCGAGATGACAGGACGCTAGCGCTTTCTGCGATGCTCTCACCTCCCCAGTCAGGAAGACAGCTGGGAGAGAAGAGATTTGTACAGAGTGGCTCCTTCAGGAGTAGATTGCCCCAGGGCTCCCGATCTTAGTTTCTCTCTCTCCGCACATCCCCCACCCCAAGTTGTGCCCCCACGCCCAGGTCTGCGTGAGTTAGCCTCGGGATAACAGGCCTAGAAATCTGTTTTTTTTTTTTTTTTTTTTTTTTTTTTTAACGTGGATTTTCAAGCTCAAAGTGGAAGCATCAGTTTTAATATAAGTCAGCCTCTTAGGGAAGAAGCAGTAGGAGGTGTTGTCAGAGGAAAACGCTTTACGTTTTATTTAGGTTTGGGGACCAGAGAATTTAACTCGTGTGGATGGAGTCCGAACTGAATGACATCAAAAATGCCGCGGGAAAAGTTATGTTGAAAATGGACCAGCCTTCTGTGGCTTTTTTTTTTTTTTTTTTTTGTGCTTTAAAGACTGAACACTGCTTAATATAAAAATCTGTACTAGTTCTAAATAAAAATACATTTCTTGTTCATTATTTTCTTTTTCTAGGTTCACTTACTGATGCAAGTCCCGGAGTCAGAATATAATAAAACTCAGAAACAGTTTAGAAAAAATAAGTTTATAAAAATATGAAACACAATGAGGTGAGGAGAAAACAGTAAGATCTTTCTCATTGGCATGGTGGCTAGTTACTGAATCAGGGAAGGGGAGCCTAGTTTAGGACTTGTGAACACAACTCTAAAGTCAGTCTCTGACTGTCCTACTTCCTAAGTGAGTTTAGGCAACTTGTTTAAAGTAGCTGAGATGGTTTCCATATGTTTAAAATTGTAGCAACACACCTATATGCTTTATAGAGTTTCATGAAGATTAACTTAATTTGTAGGTAAGTGCCTGACAGAATTTTGACCTCTCAATATGCATTAGATGTTATTTCAACTATAATTATTTGTACGTGGGCCCTAGTAAAACTATCTTAGAAATGGCAGGTGCTCAATGAATGCTTCTACTGTTGTTGAGAATCTAGAGAAGAAATGAGAGAATTATATGAAAACCAAGCTTAGAATATTTCATGAAAGCAAAATGAGTTGAAAAAAGAAAAGAACAGGACAAGAGAAGTACATTTTATTTTATATACAATAAAAATTTGAAGGGATAACATTAACTAATTAGTTAAGTAGAATTGTATTAAAATTTAAATTATTTAATAAAAACTACTTGGTTATTCATATTATCTCAGTTAAAAGGGTAAATATAAATTTTTCTAAATTTGGTGTGTGGTGAAGGATGAAACAGCAGAATTCTTACTCTAGATTTTCTAGAGTTTTCTCATCACCATAAAGATACTAAGTACTCCAGAAAATTAAACTTTAGTACAAAGATGCTCTTCAGAATACAACAGGATTACATCTAGTTAACCCACTGTAAGTTTGAATTTTCTAAGTTGTAAATATATGTAGTACAACTCACCCACCAAACATGACAGTTTAGCAACATAGTACATTGTAGATTATCATTTCACTTCTTGATAGTGTGGCTGACTGGGAGCTGTGTTTTGCTCCTTGTGTCCAGACCATACTCTATGGCATAATGCTGGTGCATAAAATAACTCAAAATTTTAAGTATAGTTTCTCTTGAATGCGGTTTTGTTTTTGTACCATTGTAAAGTCGAAAACTCAGAAGCAGAACCATGATCAGTTAAGGACTGTCTTTATTTTTTATGACTGTAAGATCAAGTAACTTAAAACAGTTTCTCAGAATCCAAACTCAGCTCTCTCCACTTCCTAACAATACCTTAACTTGTTGTTAGTTCCTTAACCTATAACTTTTAGTGACTTCACACAAGTTTTACCACCTAGCTCAGTCTTTCTAATTTCAACTCCTCTCTACTTGAAGGTGATCAAAGTATTTACCACCTAGCTCAGTCTTTCTGATTTCATCTCCTCTCTACTTGAAGGTGATCAAAGTATTCTAACAAGATATTTTTCAAGCACTTAATACATATTCCTGCTATTTGCCAGTGATTGTCCTTCTCTTTTTAATTCCGTGTTCTTCTAGATTACACTTTAAAGGCTGACGACAGACATCTAAAGACTGGATGCATCTTTGAGTGACAAGATGATGCTCAGTGAGGCCATAGTAGCCTACAGCTGGGACTTAAATGCAGGTGGCATTGCTGTGCCCACTAGTGCTTTAAAAAGTCTTTTTTTTAAGTGACGGGTTTTAACTTTTATTTCTACTTTATTTTAATGTGTCAGTAAAGACAAAAAGTTGATTCATTTGATTTAACTTAGTAGGAATAGGTGAAATACTACTGCAATGGCACTCTCTACGTGGCATTTAATAAAAATGAGAGAATTATTTTCACTTATTTTCATATAGATTCCAGTACCTTTTTCCCAGTTGTAGAAAATTAAAGCCTTATTCAACATACACTTTAACTTCCTGCTGCCACACTTCCCTCAGTGCCACATCTACCTGCTTTCCTCTTGTCTGTCCGTACTTCTACCTGTGCTGTTCACTGGTTCTCTTTCTAGATCTCTGCTACATTCAGTACAAAGAAGCAGAGCTTTCTTTTGTGTCACTCCCATTTTTTTCCTGCTCATCTCATGCATTATGCATCTTAGTAGTGTCTTTCTCTGCCTGTCCTTTTAACAGTGTTTTCCAAAGTTTCAAACTGGAGGGGTTTTTGTCTGTATCTTCTCCATATGTAGCGTTTTAACCTAATGTATCTGCTCATAGATTCTAACACTACTGCTGTGTCTGACTTTTCCCTGGAACTTCAGACTTTAATTTCCTTTACGTCCAATTCTGTAATTCATCTTTTTATTTCTACTACCAATTTTATGTCACTGCATCTAGCATTTCCACTTCTACCTACACAACCAAGTCTGTTTTGTAAGTAGCAGCCACAATTAGGTAAGGAAAGGAAAATAAATATAGGTAAAAAGGAGACAAGGAATATCATGATTTTAAAATGGTACTTTTAAGGAAAACTGCAGGACACAAATGTTATCTGAGATTACTAACTTAAAAAAAAAATTCATGAAGTTCTGGAAAACACAATATCTGTAAAAGGGGGTGAACCAATTTTACTTTTAAATTGTATTTCCTCACACATAGCTCCAAACTCAAGAAAGGAGGACTAAAGTGAACAGCAGATATCTAAACCTCAAGCACATGCAAATAGTTTGTATTCTAATGTAGCTCACCAAATGGGTGGCCTAGCAGACAGTGTGAATGTACATCCAAGATCCCTCCATCTTGAAGTTAACCCTAGGACCACAGGAAAATTCCTAACCCCAGACCATAATTAGTGCATCTCTCTTGAAAAATCTATACTTTATCTTTTTAATTAATCTGTTTCAAACTTTATTCCCAGGCTTCTCTAGCTTAATTGGCTTGAAAGAATGAATTTTATGTAAGCAAAAACTGAAAAGAGCTGCAATGTCCAAGGAGCTTGGACTTAAAAAATATTAGAGATCTAGATTTTATCAGATCCATAAACAACAATTTTAAAAAGCAGTCATCATAATTTTTTTTAATAATTGAACTCAGGAAACATATCCTGCCCTATAGGTCGGGTGAGTTGAGGTCTCTACCTGCTGTTTAGAGGACTTCTTTGGACCCCACCCAATGACAAAATGTTTAGTCTTAAGTGTAAATCTGACCATTTTACTTATCTATTTAAATGTCTATACCTCCCCCCCTTTATTGACCTCCAAAACTATGTTTGAATCCATAGCCTGATATGTGCTATGTTCTCCAGGATCTTACCACTGTTGCTTTCCCATTCTCATCATACTCAACTGCCCACTTACTCAGGCTGTTTTAAAATGATCTTTGAAACATATTCTTCATGACTTTCTCTGGACCATTCTTATTTTCTTTCCTTTATTCTTTTGTTTTTCAGGTCTTCCAGGAGGCCTTTCCTTCTTTCATAGTCTTAGTTTATATTTTTCCCTTGCTCCTTGACCTTTGTTTATTCATAAATAGTCATTGAAAACATCTTTGGTGTGAAACAGTGAGCCATATACTGGAGATCCAATAGTAAACAAATGTATGGAGAGACAACCCATTACTGGTCCTGATGAAATTTATATTGTTATAGGAAAACAAGTAATTCAAAAAAATAAAGAAGCAACAGGTCAGTCTGATTTGTTCTAGGTTTGAGAATATCCAGAAAATGACCAAATTATAGAATGGAGAAAAATTTTTCTACATAGAGTTGCCAAATTTGTGAAGGCCCATGAATGGGAAGGGAATTCACTTTAGGAACTAAATTCTACATAGGGCCAGAGAGTGAACAGGGGCTGTGTTATAAGGCACACTGCTGATTAGATTAAGGAGTTTGGATTTTTTTTTTTTAAAGTCTAATACTGGTAGTAAGAATTTCAGGATAATTTCATTGTACATGATAAATCAGATTACTCTGAGAAAAAGAAATTGCAGAATGGCAAGGCTGGAGGTAGAAAGAACAGGAGATCATTGTAGTAGTCCAAGAAAAAGAAGATGTTAACCTTTATTAGGGTATTACCAATGTACTTGGAAATAGATCTTAGAAGAACTAATGGTAGAACTTGGTGACTGATGAGACTGTGAGGGCCTAAGTTAAGAAAGAAAAGATGGCATTCTGTAAACAGGCTTTAGTGAGAATAGAATACAGTATTTGCTTTCACATGTCCACAGGTTAGCCTGTCTTTCTACATTGCAGATCTGAATTAACATTAATGAATTAGGCCTGAATATCTAAATAAATTGAGTACCATTTTCTGA